CATGCCCAAGAAAAAGGCTGAATGGGATGTAAAGGTGAGAAAGCCAAGGTGAAGAATGAACCACAGAGAAGTCTGCAAGGTCGTCTGCTAGACCAGCTCCTCCTAAGCCAGAGCCCAAGCCTAAAAAGGCCCCTGCAGAGAAGGGAGAGAAAGTGCCCAAAGGGAAAAAGGGAAAAGCTGCTGCCAGCAAGGGTGGAAATAACCCTGCAGAAAATGGAGACGCCAAAACAGGCCAAGCACAAAAGGCTGACGGTGCTAGAGACGCCAAGTGAAGGGTGTGTTTTTGATAACTATGTACTACTATTTTTTTTCATCAAGTTCTATAAAAATGCAGAATTTTGTTTTACTTTTTTAAAAAGCTATGTTGTTAGCAACAGAACACTTCATCATTGTTTGGGGGGAAGGAGCATGTCAGTAGGACAATGTCTCCAAAGCTGGACTGATGTGGGGAAGGCACCTCTCCCTGCTGGCTTTGAGAGACTTCCTCTTGGCTCCCAGGAGGAGGGATTCCCTGAGGTTGACATATATAGCACCCTGGCATAAATGCCTTGTGGTACGGGACAGCTCCCAGTTCATTTTATGTCATCCCTTCCTCTGCCATCAGCATAAGCTTAACTCCCTTAAGCCCAGAGACCTATTGGGATCTGATTCCCAAAAGTGCTGTTACCAGGGTGTCAGGCAATCAGGACCCGCCAATAACGTTGAGATGGTGTCCCACAAGAGCAATTGGTTTCTTTCTCTAGATTGTGGATCTTCAGATTGATAATTCTGCCGTTTTCATTTCCTGAAAGTCAGGGTCGGCTTGTGAAAAGCTGTTAAACAACATGCTAAATGCGAAATGTCAACCCTCACTCTAAACTTTCTCTACTTCAGAGTCTCAAATAAAGACTTCATTGGATTTTATAGTGGCTTTCTGATTTTTGGTAGCCTGTCCAAGAAGGGAGTTTGAAAGTTGTTATATACTATTAAAGATTGTGTGCCCATGTCCTGCCTGAAATACCATGATTGCTTATGAAAAGTATCTTTAATAAAGTTGGATACAGTTTGGCTTAGGAAAAAAAGAGTATTTCTAAAGAATGCTTAATCTTCTTTCCTTATGAGCAAGAAAATAAAGTCATACAAACTCTATTGACTACTTAAGTAGTGGCTCAAACCTAACATGCACTAGAGTTCACCCTAAACTACTCAGCACAGCCTAGTTAGAGAAATAGTTTGTATCTGTTTTGTCCAGTGTTTTGTTTTTGCTGAAAATGAAAAGAATTGGAGTAAGTAACAATAATTATGTGTTCTTCTCATCTGACCAGGAGCAGAAGCCGCCAAGAGCTGTTTAATTCTTGATGGCCCAGGGATGTCTGGGATTTCATCTGACTTTGTGCAAGATTTCAGCCCCAACACCTAGCTACACTAGGGAAAGAAAGGGCTAGCACCCCAAATCCTGGGGAGCTGGGGAGCTCGTTAACATCACAGTCATTCCTGTCCTCACTGATCAAGTTGGAAGAAGTATGAGACTTTGCCTTGAACCAGAGTAAGAGCATTGGACATCTGAATAACAGGAACCCCTGCCGTCATTTCCTGATCCTAATAAGACCAGGAAGTAGTTTTTGCTGTTTCATGCCTTTTGTAACGGCTCGGCTCTCGATGAGGTAAAGACCTGGGGCTAGGGCAGGGAGAGCTCAGGTGAGGTGGCCCAGTGCAGCTAACAGCTGAGGTCATCCTACTACAAGCAACCTCAAGTGCTCCATGTGCTCCAAGGACAGTGGGGAGAAAGAGGACTTCGGAGTGTAGAGCGTCAAATGCTACATTCTGCTTTTGTATGGTCTGTAGTTAGGGGACAGCATCACACACACCAGCAGCAGACCTGACGCTGTCATCTTTTTACTTGAAAATGTTTGAAAGTTCTTTCTTACAAGAAGTAAAGGACAAACTTCTGTGCATGGGTGCAAAGGGCTTTGGGTACGGGTTCAGCAGACGGCACTATGGACTCGGAGGGACGACCCTGCACTCAAATGGCACACTTGAGGAGCACTGCCAAGGATCTGGAGTGGGGGACAGGAGCCAGGTAGGCAGCTGCCACCCGCCTGCAGCCCGGACAGCACGGCAGGCAGGCCCGGCAGGGCGACGCAGAAGCAGAAATGCAAAGAGACAGCCGTGCATCGTGAAGAAGTGCAGCACGCACTCCACAGGAGCCTACCGCAAATCTCCCTCCTGGCTCCACGTTTAAGTTCAAATAATTTTAGAGAATACATTTTCCATTACTTTTACTCCTAAAGAACTAGAGCCAGTGAGGTAGCTCAGGGGACTAAGCTGCTCAGACAAGCACAGGGGCTGGAGTTCCATCCCTGGCACCATGTGCTACGCCAGCCCTGCCCCTGGGCATGCTGAGCCAGCCACTGAGGTTAGGTGGCACATGCCTGTAATCCCATTGCTGGGGAGGCTAAAACAGGAGGATCACTACGAGTCAGAGCTGTGTAGTAAGACCCTATATCAAATACATAAAAAAGCTATAAAATAATATATGTATTTGTACACACCATATTTTAAGTATATGCAAAATCCTGCAATTAAGAATAATATCCCTCCCCCCAAAAAAATGGGCCAGGGAGATGGTTCAGTGGAATAAGTGCTTCCCTGGCAAGCGCAAGGGTCTGAGTTCAATCCCCGGTTCTGCCAAAAAAACAAAAAACAACAACAACAAAAAGAATAATATCCCCCATCCCTTTAACATCCATACTCTGACAAACAGCTTTTCTAGTCGGCATTACCTTCAGAATTTTATTATTCTACTATGCTTTATATTCACAAATACATGCTACAGTATCATCTCATCTTCAGGCGTTCTCACGTCAACGGCACACTTGTGCTTCCTTTACTACCGGTCAATGTTCTGCAGTCCAGCTATGTAGGTCTACACAGATCTAGCACATAACTCGTCCAGCTGTTCCCCAATACTGGTCATTTAGGTAATAAAGATATATTTTCACAGGATCAATCAGAGTTTGACTAGTTAGAAAATGAGGAATAGCTTTGATAAGTGCATATATTCATCTCCAAAATTCAGAAACATTGCCTCTACCTGATGACAACAGTTTGCTGTCAATTTAACTGATTTCTCTTGTAAAACTGAGCCAGACTCATAATTCAGAGCAATCAGCTTTGTATCCAAGTGCAGCTCTGCTTTCCAAATGCAGCCAGAGAAAATAAAATCATAGTAAATACTTGTCAAAATGTATGAACCTGTTCTGAAATTCTAATTCCATTTCTAGCAAACTGCCCTAGAAATTGTGTCATCTCCCAGTGAGCTCAGAGCCTTGAGCTACAAAATTCAGTTATCTGCTTTACCCACATAACCCACTTGAGCCCAAATATCTGAACTTCCTTAAATAAATTACAACATTTTCCTTTTTGAGTGGCATTTAATACCCACTATGCTGACCTGATGTTGTGAGCAAGTGCAGGCTTGGGAAGTCCCGGGACACTACCCCCCCCAGCCAGTTCCCAGCTGTCCTTGGTACAGAAAAGAGATCAGCAAGGCCCTCCAGCAGGTGCCCAACTACACAAAAACAAAACCTTTGCATCTCCAGAGCTGGCCTGAGTTTCTTTTCTTCGTCCTGTGGGTGGGTTGCAGTTAATGACACAAATATGAGGGACATCTCAGTCACTTCCTCCACTACATCAGACAGGTGACAGCCCAGGCCCCGGCAATTAGCGCCTTTAAGAAGCTCCACAAACCCAGCTTCTGCTCAGATTTGCATAAATTCTCACTATGGCGCTCTGTTCCTGAATTTTGCTGTGTCTTGCCGAGCCACTGCGCTCTTGGCCAGTAGGCGTGCCCTTCGAATTCACGCTGGCTGACTAGGTCTAGGGTTGTGTGTGTTTCCTGTGTATTTATTGGGATGCAAATGAGTCTCGAGGGGGCACCTCAGATAGCCCCAAGGGCCATACCTGTGAGGTCTCTGGACAGTGAGGCTGCACGCGGCACAGCCCATCAGGGGCACGGGCCTGGTCCCCAGGACCAGCTATGGGGCCACCACAAGTGTTCTCATATCACACCACAAAGCCAGTAAAACTAACTTTAGCAATACATTTATTTAATCCAATATACCTAAATATCAATGTGATCAAAATTTTAAATGTATTGAAATTTTATATTTTTTTGTTTAGAATAAGCCTTCAAAATATAATATTCCTTCCAAATCATCATATTGCAAGAGATTGAGAGGTGCTTGTGACTATTGGCTGCCACATTGCACAGTCCAGCTCAGGGGGAAACCGGGGCCTGGGAGCAAGCACAGACCTGGGAAACTGTGCTGCATGACCATGAGTGCATGCGCAAGCTCTGAGTATTATCATTCCAGTTAGTGACGAGCTGCAAAGTACAACCTGCCTCATAAATCTCTTTTAAAAAAATTAAAGATGTGTAGCATATCTTGGCAAATGATGCACCTGCTGCAGAACACAACTCAACAAACCAAATACCCTTGTCATCGTAGTGTGGATCAAAGAAAAAACACCATGGCAGGAAAGCTCAGATTCAAATTTTAATAAAGTAAGAAGAGAAAGAGAAACAAAAATTTGAGAAAAGTCTATCAAAATGTTTCTTAAAACAACCATCAACTATTACCCATGCAAACAAAACTAAATAAAAACCATGTCTTCCAGAATTGAACAATGTCAAAATATGATAATGTTAGACCTGGAGAAATGACAGCTTTCATTTTTAAAGAAGATTATCTTTCTTGATTATGTTGTCATGCTAAGACTACCTTCTGTTTCTGAAGGGAATGAAGGTTGCAAAGCTGCCTGGAATGTTACTAAATGGCCTAGAAACAGCCCTTCAGGATACTGAAGACGTGATCAACAGTGACTGTATTATGCACCTTGATGACTGAGCATTTACTACATAATACATAGCAATCAATTTTTCAAACAACTGTTACAGTATTTTTTCATTCATTTATATATGACATAAAAATGCAAGTCATAAAATACATAAAACATACCTCTGATAAAAATGTTTGGGCCGATTTCTGAGCTCCTACATGGAGCAGATATTCATATACATAGAGTGCTAACCTGAAAAATGAATAAAACATTTATTGAGAAGAGGAATATTTAAAATTCATCCTAATAATAATGCACATCTTTCCACAGCAGTAATATTATGTACACCAACAGTGACAGGAAATAAATCCTTCTCACACTTTTCAGCAGAAATATA